AAGAATAAAGAAAGAGATTGGAGGAGAGAAACCGGTGACACGTTTAACAAGGAAGCTCCAATCATCACCATCTCCGATAAAGGCTCAACCATTGGCTGTTGCAGCACCAACAGCTAAGCGAAAAATGGTTCTTCAATTAGACGAAGACTCAACGTTTGATGCTGAGGACAACCAACCCATCGGGAAGGTTTTAAAAAGAAAAGCTTTGCTACCTCCTCTCACACCACATCAACCCACAAAGAAAAAGGTCATAAAGCTTGCATCAAAGGTGGTTGCTGAACCTGCAGCTAAAGTCGTCGCTCCTTCGGTTCAGACAAAAAATCCTGTGGATGTTTCTTCCCCTCTCATCACTGAACATTCTCCTTTTGTAAGTGACATTTCTATACCTTCCCTTCTTTTAACCTCTTATAAATCTTATCTGATCTAAAACCTCGTTATAGGTTATTTTTGTAAATATTGTCTCCTTAAGGAAAAGAAAAACGAAAATTAGGGTGATGGAATCATGCCTAGGAAAGCAAGAGGTGACACATTGAAGGAGCCAAGAGGAGTTGGCTAGACATGAAGGTTTTGGCCAGTCAAGGCCCAATGGGCCCGATGGGCCCGATGGGCTTGGAAGGCCCAAGTTGAGCTTCACATGGGCCACATCTTGTTATAGCTATTTCCTTATGGTTTGTATATATAATGTTAGTATATGTATCATATATTTTGGTCTTGTATTTTTGGAACACATAAAGTAGCATTTTTAGCTTTAGGCTTATTGGGCCTAGTTTTGGGCTTCATGGGCCTTTGGGCTTTTGGTACCCAATATTGGGCTCATTTTCATTCTTGTAATTTTTCCTTTTCCATTGTATTTGATTGGCTATTGTATTTAGGCCATTAGAATAGGATTATACAAGAATTACTTAAATAGGCAATTTAGACTAAAATTAGGTTTAATTTGGAAGTCATTTAAGTTACATTTGAGTCACATGTTTAACACCTTTGGTGGCTGAACATGTGCCACTCAAATTAACCCTAAATGGCACTCAAATCAAACTTAGATGCATCATAGCACCTAAACTCACGGCCAAGCACATGGGAGCCAAAATTTGAATTCAAATTTCAAGTTTGAATTCAAATTTAGGCGCCAACATGTGTGGCTTGACTTAGGTGCCAATGAGCTTCATTTCCGTGGCCTATTTAGGTGATTCTCCTCCTTTGTAAAAGCACTTTGGATTATTGAATGAGTTTTTCTCTCTTAGAATTCTCCTTCTCCGAAGTCACCTTTCTCCTAAAAACTCTACCCTACTTGAGCTCCTCTCCTTGTAGAGTTAGGAAAGCTTTCTTCTCCGGACTTAGCTACATGCAAGCAAAGGTCACATTGAAGCCATTTGGAGTCTTCTTCCTTGTTGTTCTTCCAAGGAATTCCGAGAGGCTTGAAGTGTTCTTGAGATTTCCAAGTGGAATCTCATCATAGGGTCGATCGCATGATCTTGCCTTCAAGGCCTATTCCTTCTACTTTAACATGACAGCCAATAAACTCGCTGATTTCGGAAGAAATGCACCTAGAAAATAATCTTTATTCCATCATTTTTCCTAGAGCTGCTGACCTAGAAGGAAAGCTGAATTGCTTAAGGATGTCCAACTCACCACCAACAAAGACGTGATAAAGAGGAATAAAGTTGGTCTACATCTAAAGCCACGTCTATACATCATTGACCGGACGATCAACGTGTTGTGTGGACTCTACCCTATCAATTAGGCTGGGCACTATGTATTGCAGAAGCCCACCAAACATGCCTTGGGGTACTACATACCAGTGTACTCTTGGCTTAAAGAAGGCTCCACCATACTGGACATTGAAGGAAACCCTCTGCGAGACTCGCAAGGGAACACTCATGTGTTTGAAGCCATTCTCCCCAACAAGCCTACATATGGATCAGAGTACTACTATACTTGGAGCAACCTCCTCCTCCTGCTCTTTTCTCCATGCTTGTACGTCCACCTACCTTTGGAATCAAGAAGAAGTCACCTCCCTCATCTCCATAAAAGATTAAAGAACAGTCCATATGCCCTTCATTTGTGTACTATCTTTTTAAGCACTTCCCAACACTTACTGTCAATGACCCTCACGGTCAAATAGTTGAAAAGGAAGCTTTTTCACCATGCCGAGAAGAATAACCTACACCGATGTATGAATATGAAGAAGGGGTGTACTAATGCACACCTTATCGCCTAGACATTCCTTTCTCTCTGTCTGAGGCCTACTTGGCTCTTCCGCCAGGTACAATCACTGCTCTTCCTCCACCTACCTTGATGGCATCCTTGCTTGCATTGATAGAATGGTTTATCAATATGAGGACACCTTGAATTCTTAGATCAAGTCCCTCAAGGGTGGCGTCTAGTTTGGAGAAGGAATATGGTGGAATGGAAGTGTGGATGAAGTGTTTATTGGTGCATTTGTGAGTTGGTACTTTAAGATTTCAAATGCATGGTCATGTTTATTGGTCCATTCAAAAGGCACATCTGTTTTTACAAGTTCATTCAAGGGTGACGCAATGGTAGATAAGTTAGGCACAAATCTTCTATAAAAACTTGCAAGCCCATGAAAATTCCTAACTTCACTAACATTCTTTGGTTTTGGCCACTCTTGAATAGCCTTGATTTTCTCAGGATCAACCCTAACCCCTTCTTTGCTAACAATGAATCTAGGAAAACCACATGATCCACACAAAAGTACATTTGTCAACATTAGCAAACAAGTGGTTTTGCCTAAAAATCATCAAAACTTCTCTAAGATGCCCTACATGATCATCTTGAGATTGACTATAGATTAAGATGCCATCAAAATAAACAACCACAAATATTCCTATACATTCTCTCAAGACATGATTCATAAGCCTCATGAATGTACTTGGTGCATTGGTTAATCCAAAAGGCATAACAAGCCACTTAGATAATCCAAATTTAGTCTTAAAAGTAGTTTTCCATTCATCACCCACTTTGATTCTTATTTGGTGATATCCACTTTTAAGATCTATTTTGGAAAATATATTAGCACCATGTAACTCATCAAGAATATCATCAAGTCTAGGGATTGGGTGCCTGTACTTGATTGTTATGTTGTTAATAGCCCTACAATCACATCACATTCACCAATTTCCATATTTCTTAGGTACTAACAACACAGGCACAACACAGGGGCTCAAACTTTTTTGTACCCAACCCTTATCTAATAATTCTTGAACTTGGTTCTCTATCTCCTTGGTTTCTTGTGGATTTGTCCTATAAGCAGGCCTATTTGGTAGACTTGCCCCAGGCACAAAATGAATTTGATGTTCTATACCCCTAAAAGGTGGAAAGCCTTTTGGGCCCTCACTAGGAAATACATCATCAAATTCTTTTAATAATTGTGTAACACCAAGGGGTAAAGAACTAGGTTCAAGATTTAAATTATGACATTTAAGCATACTTCTACAAAGAAGAATATAAAAAAGTTTTTCAACAAGAAGTGTTTGTTTCAAATTATTTTCTTGTTGAAGTCCTTCTAACGGAAGATGAGTTTCTTTCTTCTTCTTCTTTGATGATTTATGCTTCTTTTCTTTTTTAATCAACTTTTTTTCTTCTTCTCTTTTTAGTTTCATTTGAACTTGATCCTCAATCACTTGTGAAGGAGACAAAGGATGAAGTATAAATTTTTTTCTTTATGGGTGAAAGTTATTTCATCAATGAGACCATTATGCATGGTTTTCTTGTCAAATTGTCATGGCCTCCCCAACAAAATATGGCAAGCTTCCATTGGAATTGTGTCACATACCACATGATCTTTATAGTTACCAATAGAGAACTTAACTTTCACTTGTTTATCCACAATAATATCCCCATCTTCATTTAACCAATGAAGTTCATAAGGCTTGGGATGGGGAATTGGAGTTAGATCTAGCTTCTCAACCAACCTTGTGCTACAACAATTACAACATGATCCACTATACACAATGAGAGAACAAGATTTATCTGAAATTTTACACCTTGTGTGAAAAATATTCTCTCTTTGTGAGATATGAGATTCATTAGGTTGACTTCCTAGAAGCCTTCTAATCATCAACAATTGACCATCATAAGGATAAGCATTTTCGACTTGATGGCTTTCATCACTAGAATCACTTTCACTTGTAGTAGTAGAACTAGTTTCATCATGACTACTATAAATGTCTTGTCCTCTTAAAATCATGATTTTCTTGTTAGGATATTGAGAAGCTATGTGACCCCTCCCAAGACATTTAAAGCATTTAATGTCACTGGATTTACTACTAAAAGTGATAGCATTTTTATTTTTCTCTTTTTCTTTATCTTGACCTTTGCCAAATTTTTTAGAGGAATCATATTTAGAAAATTGTCCACCCCCCTTGTAGTCTTTCTTAATAGAAGAAGAAGTAGAGTGAGACTTGTCTTTCTTGGCCATATTGCTTGACTTGTAGTTTCAGCAGCTGCTATATACTCTGCTTTTGCTGTCACTACTAGAAAAATTGTATTCTAAGTCGGTTATTTTGTCATATCTACATCGGTTCTAAAACCGACTTAGATGAGGGCGACTTAGATGAATGAACATATTTACATCGGTTAAGTAAAAACCAACTTAGATGTATGTGTTGATCTAAGTCAGTTTTCATAAAACTGACTTAGATGTATGTGTACATCTAAGTCAGTTTTTAGTGAGAACCGACTTAGATGTACACATACATCTAAGTCAGTTTTTGTTAAGAACCGACTTAGATGTACACATACATCTAAGTCAGTTTTTGTTAAGAACCGACTTAGATAAACACATACATCTAAAGAACCATTGTAGATTATATTTTTTTTAGCCAGGTTAATTTTTAAAATAAGCATACTACTGCAACTGTACATCAAACTTGGAACTCTACCTCCAAAAATTAGGCAAAGAATGAATAACAGAAGATAAATCACAAACCAAATCGCCTAAAGATAAAACCTACCCATCTAAGCAAAGGTGCATTGAAAAATTCCTTAGTTTTCACAATTAAACTGTTGGACGAACAGACTTTCACTTACACAAAAACTATCAGCAACATCGACAATTAATGACATCCAAGCATGTATATGGTCTTGACTTTTCCTCTATCTCTTGAGGGATAGGAAGTGGTTCTAAACTGTATATGCTGCTCCTGGCACAGCAGAAGTTGTATAAATTTCCACAAATTACTTTGCTGAATGGATGCACTCTTTCCGGAATTGACCTGCATGTTAATCAAATGTGCTCATCATAGATATCCCAGAAACAGTTTGCAAGCAAAAAACAAAAGTAATTCAGACATCTAACCGTTTAACATCAACATCTTGCTGATAAATTAAAAGCCATGCAATGCTAATAAAAATAATCACGTTCCACCAAAATGTTTTATTTAATGATTTAAGGTAAAAATGTGAAGAAAAAAAATACAAAAACATCAAGAGACTAACTTATCTAACCTTAGGTAAGGAATCCGTCTTCTCCTTACAAGTTCATAGGTAGTCTGATTTGTCAAAATAAGATAACTGCAGAAAAGACAAAACAGTTGTGATATTCTATTTGTATTGAACCAGAATGTTGAACTATACATTCAACGTGATGGAGAAAAAGGGCCAGGGTGTACATAATTAAATAAGTGGTAAAGTTGAAAACATACCCTCCCAAAACCATTTCTCCAAACAAAAAAAAAATACAGAAAGGAACAGAATGAAATACCTATATAAAAAAAAAAGCAATTTTATGCTAGATACAAAAATTGGGATACAGAATTACAAGAATTACCTATGAACTAGCAGTAGGAGGAGCAGAAAGACAAGACACATTGAAAGAGTAATCAATAGTTTTGATAGGTAGGAAGAAAAAATCATCGTAAGAGATATTTTTACTAAGATATATACAAAATTAATAAAATAAGCAACTTCCTTGTACAATGCTGGCATGTTATTGATTACAAGGAGAACATATAGTCAAAGTCTTCACAAGGATATATAGCATTTCTTTAGATGAGCTCTAAAAATAATCCCATTCATAAATTTCCCAAGTGTTCAAGCATAATAAATTACAAGGGTTACACTAACACAGAGAGCATATCAATTGAAAATTGTTCTCGTGAGAACAAATTATTTTGGTCATACAACCATACATAGATGGTCCAGATTCAAATTGAATAAAATCACTCTATATATAGAGAGAGAAACAGCTTAAAACTACCAATAATTTGCTTTAAAATATCTATAATTATTCAATCCACACAGTACTTAGAAGGACATAACTCAATGGGAAAATAAAAGTAAATATGCAGTTAAAGTAACTAAATAATGTAAGGATAACATAATTAAGTTTCTAAATATGTTTCTGAGTTCATCCACAATTCCTCTCATAATAAATATTGAAAAAAAGAAGACCAAGTGCACGTTGCAATTAAAAGTGTTTGAAATATATAATCTATGCAGATAAATTAGAAGTGGTTATAAAAAGGTAAAATAATTCAAGAAATATATACACAAAAAAAGGTTGATCATCTTTATTATAATTATAAATTTTCTAAATTTTACTTAAATTAAAAAATATGTGTACATTATATATGCAGATATGATGTTGCATTGGGTATAAATACATTTGGAGTTAAGCATGTTTTGAACTTCGCCAAAAGTTGTATTAAACTAAAGGCCACTGTTCCTTAATCTAAATATCAAGACTAATTACAAATAAATAATAATATCATCAAGCAAAAATTTAAATATTGGTGAAAGTTAAATTACTTATCTAGAAAGAAGATAGCTCAGATAAAGTCTACAATAGAAAATCTTGAAACTAGAATGCAAATAATGAACTACATAATCCAATATAATTAACTCACCAAAATCAACAGTGATTACCCTGGCCAATGCAGTTACCAAGCCAAACACAATGATGATCAAACTGAAGAACACACTTGTCACAGTCATGACAATGCTTTGCTCGTGGAGGCTGTATAATGGCCACCAACAAAAAAATTGATCATCAAAGTTAAGAAGTTAAATTATTAGAACTCAAGAGAGAGGTCTCTAGTTTTCATTGTGCTAAGAAGGAACTCTTAATGTGCTAAAGGTCAAGTATATAACACAGGGAAAAAGCAGTTTACAAAATGCAGTTCAATCCATCTTGTCATTATCCATGGAAAAATTGCTTTCTCATGATTCTAATACAAGAATTCAATCCAAGATAAAAAATCGATTCTAGTATTTTTACTGAAATCTTGAACTCGTTTTTAAAAAGCAAAAACATTGACATTAAGCTGTCTTTTCTCTGTTACAAGGCAGGTTGAATTCAGAATTTTAGATCACAAATGACAAAACCAATACCCAAACAATTTTTTTAAAGATACAAGATGTAGAGTAACATCCAGGAAAGGTTAACAATATTATTAACAATCTGATGGTTATACTTAATAAAGATGCTTCAATACATGACTAGGGCAACACGTAGTTTCTTCCATCCTTGCAGTGACTTTTATGATGCTGTACAAAACGAAATGTTGACAACTAAAACCATCAAATGAATGCAGCACCATTACCCAAAGATGCATTGAAGAAGCAATAAAATATGAAATAACATATTACACATACAACAGCCCTAACATAATACACATTACAGAATGTCATTTGTCATACCTGCTCCACATTGCAGTAGGTGCATGTCCATGTTCTGCAAGGAGAATTAAGCCATAAATAACTTGCAAAAATTCAACCAAAAATGCATGAAATTGTAGATGCCAAAGACAGTCCTACCTACCTGATTGTTGACCCAAAAGGATACAAGTCAGCCACCAACTTTGACCAAGATGTTGCATTGCTTCCTGAACCATATCTTCCCATCTGGTTTCCCTCCATGGAAACAACAAAGCTCCCATTTCTGCTCGACGCTGGTTGACTTTGCTTGAGCAACATAAAATTAAAAATAAATAGTTAGATGAGACCAGAAACACAAGTTTACCTCAAATCACATGTTATCACATCCCTCCCTTTTCCTAATAATAAATTTATACTAAAAAAGTAGCATTGCCTACTTTGATGCCTCCGGTTCCTTTCTGTATACTACATTTCTCTCGTTAACAACCATCATAGCATCACGAACATAGCTGTGCATAGAAAATTAGCAAAGCCGTGGAGGGAGAGGTCCTCTTGGTCGCAAAAGAGCTTCTTGGCGCTGGGCTGGGCGGAGGAAGAGGGGGAGCGGCGCTTGATGGGGGCGACGGCAGAACAGGGCGACGGCGGAACAGGGCGCTTGATTGTCCTCAGATTTAGCGGCCTCCGCGGAAGCATCCTTCTCCGGAATCTTGGAGGCCGGTGGCGATTTGGCTTCGTGGAGCGGAGGCTTGGAGTCTTCTAGGATTTCGGTGGCCATGGATGGGGGAGGGGGGACCAGAGAATTGGGAACCCTAGCGGTGAAAAAAACCCTAGAATTGGAGGGAAAACTACTTACTACTAACCTAAAAAATAAAAAAATAGAAATTAATTAATTATAATAAATCAAAATATTATAAAAAATTATAATTCAAATCAAAAGAAATCAAAAGTATTAAATACATTAAAATATTATAATTAAAAGAAATCTAGTATTAAATCAAAAGAGTATAAAAATCATAACTAAAATTATAATAAATATTCTGATATTAAATATTTGTATTAAAGAAATTATTACAGATTTTAAATTTTATTTATTATGTTTTATAATCAAAAGATATCTAATATTAATTCAAAAGATTATAATAATTATAACTCAAATCATAATAAATAATTTGATATTAAATTTATTATATATTAAAATTAATTAAATATTTTTATCAAAGAAACTGATACAGATTTTATATTTTATTTACTATATTTTATAATCAAAAGAAATTCAATATTAAATTAAAAGATAATAAAAAAATATAACTAAAATCATAATAAATTTTCTAATATTAAATTTAGTATATATTAAAATTAATTCAATAT